TATATATCCTACTTTTCTCATTGTTTTTCTCTGCTGCACACTGAGGACTGTAACATATGCGTGGAAAGGGTGTTCTGAGTGCGTTGCAGTTTTGTGTGTTAGTTCCTAGAAAGTAGGCCTGGTGTCTAATTCCAATGTACCCAGTTCCAGTTCCGTGGATGCTCTAAAAGCAAGATACCCCCATAGTTTTGGTGCTGCTACATTCATCAAGTCTAGCTCATTACACTGATGTCTGAAATAAGCTCAAGTCAAAAAGCATTTGACTTATTCAAGAAATCTTTTCACCTACAATAAAATACCAGATGCAGTTTCTGAAAGATCAACATGTGATTTAAGTGAGATTACAATGGAAACAATCTAAAATTGGGATGTTTTTTATGTCACTTAGATTATTTCCTTAACTACTACTGTTCATATCTTTTCTAGGATGATTCTTGTCTCAAAACAAGGTGACCTAAAACACAAATATCCTTTACTATTGGCCCAGATTTAGCTTTAAAGTCCAGTAAAATCAATATCATTTTATGTTTCATTGCAGCTTTTCAAAATATTTTTATTTTTTCTATGTCAGGCATTGTACCAATTACTGAAGTTACAGAAGAAAATTTCTGCTAAACAAAAATAAGATAAGAGCACTGGGCTGGAAGTTACAACATTCGGATCCTTGTTCAACCTTATCATTAAATCACCTTGGATAAGTATTTTTTCCCTCTGTGAACCCCACTGATTAAATGAAATAAGCTGGAACTTGCGTTTCAATTGTTAGTCATCATGTGGGTACTAGGAACTGAACCCTGGTCTTTTGGAAGAACACCAAGTGCTCTTAACCACTGAGCCATCTCTCTAGCCCCTGAATTGAGTTTTATAGTATTTTTAAAGAGTATTTTCATATCTATTCATCAGAGTTATTGACTTGCCTGACATCACATCCTTGGTTTGCTCTAAGATAAATTGGGAAGAATTTTAAACACTTGTTACTATCCATCTGTACCAGGCTTTAATTGCCTCTGTAATGTCTATGCAAACTGTTTTCCCCATACTTTCTTGAATTGCACCTTAGCCTATAATATCATTTGGACTCTGTTAAAAGGCTCTTTCTTCCAGGAAACTTATTATCTGTCTCTTCATAGCTCTGATCCACCAGGGATAATTAGAAACACAAAATTTGTTCTGTTAAGAACATTAAAAGCCTTCTAATAAAATGTCCCAATGTGATACTTAACTTTTAAGTGATGAAAATAGACATAATGTATTGAGATTCACGAAGCTACAATAAGTTGGGAATAGAGATAGCATAAATCTTGGAAATTGCATAGAACTGGAGATATGGTGTGGTTTAAAGACAAAGCATTCTGAATGTGCATCTATCTTTTTTCCTTTGTTTAGGTTGTATATGGACCTAGTGGGCAACTTCTGTATTTTCAGTTGAGAGAGAAGTATTTAAATGGGATCTGGGCATGTTCCAAGGAGATTCTAGAAGGCCATACACCTCCATGTTGTAGTCTAGGTGGCTGAACAATTAGCAAAGATAAAATAAGTACCTGTCTAGCTCCCATTCATCAACGACTATACACTGAACTGTGCTTTTTGATATTGTTCATATTTCAATAGAAAAATTATAGCATCAATTTATTATCAAGGTCTTAATAAAGTCATTTTGAAATGACTGGCAAAATATAAACATGCTCTCTCATTGAAGCAAATGAAGATACGCTGTAGAGCTGCAAAGAAACTACTCATTTAAATGCTTTCTAAGCCCCTTATTAGAGCCCAAACACTCAGCATGGACATATGATGGGCTGGCATGAAGTACTTTTCATGTAAGCTGGCCCTGAAATTCTTGACTAACTGATGGAGTTCTGGATCTTTCTTCTGGTCCTGTTCTTATCATAAACCTTTAGACTTATTCTAAGCCCCAGCAGGAACTGAGACCATCAGATAATCTTTAGACCATTTGTAGAGAAACGATTTCTATTTTTCTTCCTGTATCTGTTCTTTATTGTCAGGTCCATGGTATTCTCAGCCAGTACATGATTTGAGCCCATTGTCTAATTAGATTATTTTCCCATTTGTTCATTCCAAAAATCAGTATCTTTATCATTAACCTATAGTGAACACTGAATAATGGAGAATTTCTCATACTTGAACCAATATGGACAAAATAAAATTTTTATTGAGGTGTGTAAAAGAAGGCATGAATTAAATGGAAAGGTTATGATTGCATTGGATAAAAATACACAATTTTAAGAATTTTGATTCTATTTGAATGAATTCTATAAACTTAAAATTATGTAAACAAAACCTCGATAAAATAATTCCAAAGTGTATCTGGAGGAATAAATGTATAATGCCAAGATATTTGTGGAAAAGAAGAGCAAGACATTCTGTAGTAGGCATTTAAATTATTATTAAGACAAAACAATTATATGATACTTTGATAGTGGCTACAGTATAGGTCAATTAGTGAAAGAAACAAGAAAAAACAAAAATATTTGCATTTATCTGATTATTAAAGATGTTGAATATTTTTAAATTTTTTTGCATTTTTATAGATTTTTTGCGATTTCCATACAATGTAATTTGATATTTATAACCCCTCTCCCATTCACACCTTCTCACATAACTCCCCCCCACTCATTCCACTCATTTCAATGTACTGTCTCTGTATAATGAAGCTTAGAGAGTCTATCTCAAATCCCCATATGTTCTCCAGTGTGGGTTCATACACTGGAGCTTGCATAGCATCTGTGCATGCTGTCGCCATTGCTGTGAGTTCACATGAGTAACCCACCAGTCATCTTGAGAACTCTGCCCCTCCTATGGCCATCCACCGCCTCTGAGTCTTACAATCTTTCCACCTCCTT